CCAAAAATAAAATAAAATAAGTTGATAAATCACTTAAATTGAAGTTAGTAATATCAAATAATAGTTGGTAAATCTTTGAAGTAGTTAGGAAAGGTAATTAAAAGGTGGTAAAAGTTAAGAAAAGTTGGTAATTAAAAGAAAAATAAACTTTGTAAGTAACTCAAGAGTTTGCAACCCAAATATGTTGATAACATAACCAGAGCAAAGTTGGTAAGTCACTCTAATTAAGGTTGATAAAATCTCAAAAGAGTTGATAAATTTATGGTGTTGCTGAGAAAGGAAAATTAATAAAAGTTTGCAAACAAGAAAAGTTGACAAATAAAAAAAATTGAAATCAATAAATAACTCAACTGAGAGTTGATAAACAACCATTAAATTTTAACTTAATGAGAGAAAATTTTGTGAGTCAAGCTAATTTAGGTTGGCAAGAGAGTTAATAAATGTTTGGGATTGCTAGCCAATGTAAACAAAATTTGGTAACTCAACAACAAAAAATAGCAAATTAAAATAACAATCAAATGTCGATAAGTAATTTGAAATAGAGTTGGTAATTAAAAACTGATTGATAATTCAATTTGAAAAGTTGATAAATCACTCTAAATTCTATTGATAATTATTATAAAAGTTAGTAAATTTGAAGCGTTAATAAATTATACGAATAGAAGTTGACACGCTTCATGCTCTTGTCATCTTATCAGATTTTGTTTGAGAAATAGTGCAGGAGAGAGAGAGAGACGGAGAGACGGAGTCTCCATGTCAGCAAACATTAATCTACATCAATAATTCTTCGAAGTTCTTAAGACCATGTCAACAAAATTCATCATGGAAATGACAGAATTACGAAAGATGTACTTTCTCGTACTGGAACAATTTTGGACAAAAAAAAAAATTGAATCTCAAGTAAAAGTAGAGAAACTACTGGTGCAATTATATCATTAAAGAGTATCAATCCCCATTTCACTTTGCACCTTAACCTTTTAAACAGACCTCCGTTTAGAAATGGGAGTTTACCCATTGAAATTTCAATGGTAAGTGTGTGCAAATTATTGTAGATTAGGGACACTTGCTTTATCCAAAAAAAGAGGGAAGAACACTAGAAGTGCCAAAATTTGTGTATGGTGCTTTTATAATTAAAATTTTAATCTGAGTTGGATTTTTTTTTAAAAAATCAGTCTACGTGGCATTTCCATGGCCGGTGACTGGTGTTCGGTCGCCGGCCATGGTCGGCTGCCTGACCTCGCCTACCACAGGTGAGGCTCGGCCGACCCTGGCCTAGGCAAGGGTGGGCGAGCCCCGGCGAGGGTCAGCCTCACCTCACCTGGGCAAGGGCGAGCCCCAACAAGGCCGGCCCTCGCCCAGGCCACGGCGGCCTTGCCGAGCATCGCCTTCCCTCGGGCGACGCCACGGTGGCCTGGGCGAGAGATGGCCTCGTTGGATCTAGCGAGGGTCGGCCTCACCTCGTTTGGGCAAGGGCAAGCTCCGGCGGGGCCACCGTGGCCTGGGCGAGGGCCGGCCTCGCCGAATCTAGCGAGGCCAACCCTCGCCGGGGCTCGCCCGCCCTCGCCCAGGTGAGGGTTGGCTGGGCCTCGCCTTTGGCAAGCGACGGCGGCCTCGTCCGGGGAAGGTTAGGCGACCGGGCATAGTCGGTGGCCAGTGTCCGATCACCGGCCAAAGGTAGAAGAAGAAGAAAGAAAAGAAAAAAAGAAAAGAAGGAAAAAAGAAAGAAAAGAAAAAAAAAGAAAGGAAAGGAAAAAGGAAAAAGAATAAAATTATTTAAAATAAAATTAAATCGAAATAGGGTGAATAAGCTAAATTACGTCGTTTTGAAGTGTACATGCTAACTAAACCTCCGACAAGCCACATCGGCTTCAAAAATTAATAAAAAAATGTCGCGTCAGATTTCTAGTCAAACTGACCGGAGTTGGCACTTAAATGATCGTTTTTCAAAAAATTTGGCACTTAAGTGATTTGCCAGAAACTTTTGACACTAAAGTGAGCGTCATACACAAGTTTTGGCACTTTTAGTGTTCTTGTCCCCCAAAACAACTTACCAGTTTATGAAAATTATAGTTCGTTCGGGTAACCGGACCTCTGCCTTTTTCCGTATCATTGTTTTGATTTTATGGTTTTTTACCCATTGTGTTGATTGACATCAAAAGCCAAACGACAAATCAAAATTTTGAAAGTATGTAATCTTTAGGGATATGCCCTCGTCTGCGCCTGGGTCACAACCAGCATCGCTTGAGCCCTCCTCTCTCTCCTGGCCCTCACCCAATTAACTTCTTTACATGTCCATGATAAATTTCAAAGTTTGGGATAAAATTCAAAACCGCTCAAAACTTACGGTTTTTTTAGTGAAATAAACTTAAAATTACTAAGTGTATAATCTATAGTCCAATTTCAAGAATTAAAGTTAAGAATGCTAGCAGTTTAGAATTTTTACGAAAAATTTGATAGTCTCGATCATAGCGATATTGCATCTCCTACGAGCTTAGACGCAACGTACCTTTGGCAATATTTACACCTTGAGGTGGCGGAGAAGACGACGGCGGACTGGGGCTCGACTCCCAAAATCGGAACAAGTCCAATCGGAAAATACAACTCGGTTTATAAACAACGCCGCCTTTACTTGCACGGCAACACTTATCATAATCATCAATGGATTCGGACAAGCATCTCCCGCAATCCAACGGCGACAAGTCGGGACTACACTGTAACAACGAGTAGATCGTCTTGTTGTCCGGCAAGTCAGCCTGCCCCTTCGCAAACTTGAGCTTCGAAGAGCCCTCTCCGGCTTCACTCGCTAGGCTTCGCGTCAAGTTCCTCCATATGTCATCGAACTGGACTTGGTTCATGGTGATGTTGTTGGGGTTTTTAACCCGAATGACAGGATCCGTTTGCAGTTTGCCGTAGATCAGACTGTCCGAGTATCGGATAAAGCATGGCGGGTCTGCGGTTCCCCACGAGAAAGCCGCCTTCTGGTTAGGGCACTTCACGATCAAATCTTCAACCGCGGTCTTCACACACATCGTGCAGATATCTGCTGACGTGTCGCCTCGGCAGTAAGTGATGGCGTAGACGGTGTTTGGATTCTCGCCCTCACTCACGGCATAGAACCCATCATGTGCAGCCACGTTGGAGGGGAGAGACCTCAGGACGGCATCGCGGTTCTTTGCATAGGTGCTGTTCGATGTGAAGTTTCCGGCGGTGTCGTAGCAGTGTTGTGCATGGGATGGGTAGGTTCGGATCAGAACAGTCAGCAAAATGAGAAAATAAAGAGTGGACGATGAGCGAGTCATATTATTCTCTGGTGTTTCTGGTGCTCTAAGTGGCTTTGCTGGATGCACAGTCGGAGATTTTCAGTAGGGGATAAGGTGAAAGAAGAAGAAGAAGAAGAAGCATAAGAAGAAGAAGAAGAAGAGAGGGAAGTAATATATGTCGACGAGTTAAAAGCTTGAACCAGATTGCTAGATTCACTAAAACTAATTTACAAAACTGATTTGCAAAACCTTACAGTCATGCCATAGATACGTAGGTGCTGATTCGGGACTTCGAGTATAAACGCTCAGAAAATTGAGGAAGAAGAAAAGAGAGATGGAGACGGCGAAGCAAGACCATCTGGTTGGATTGACGATAGTATTGGCATAAGCTAGATCGGCAGGGAATTATAGGAAAAATAATGTTTGAATTGTCGTCTCCTCATAAGTCTTGTCCATTCTGCAGGTTCCATGTGTTAGACAAATTGAGACAAAAATTGACTGATTCTAATCATGCACTGAAGAACAAAATTCAAGCTGTTGAGAAAAATCCCTAATTAATTTTGAAGAATGACAAAACAATCATTTCTGACCAAATTATACTTAAGTTTTTTTTTATGCAGGTAAATACTGAGTCATCAGACTTAGTCGATAAAATGACTTTGTCATCAGACTCAAAATTCCTCATCAGATTCGATAAGTGTTATTTTTAGCAGGTTTATGCAGGACGATCAAATTGATATTTCAAGATATTTTATTTTGTAATCACAAGATTATTCCTTAAACACGAAGAACTACACTTATGGAAACCAAGATTTGATTGTATGGGCGATCAAATCACTTGGAGATAATGGTTCTTTTTCTAACGGCTACGTATCTTCTTTTGGGAAGTTTCTCCAACAGGTTGATTTGGAGATAAATTCTCTGAAGACTGTCCAACGGGTAGATTGGAAGTGGAGGAGTATAAAAGGAGTGCATACGTCGTACAAAATAGAGAACAAGAATCAAGAATTCCAAAGTCTGAATAGAGCTTCGATCTTACACACTTGTGATTACTATATTCTACGTTGTGATTTTAGAGAGAAAATTACTTGAGTGTAGAGTGTATGTGATTGTGCGATCTATCATCTGAGAAGTACTGTTCTTGTAATCTCTTGATGATTCAATAGTGAAACACAGCCAATAGGCTGCTAGCGTGGAGAGTGGACGTAAGCTTGACAAAGCCGAACCACTATAAAGATTTGTGTGCAGTATTCTTTATCCCTATACTTTCATTTATCATTGTTAACATTATATTGCACACATATCTGTCAAACAAGTACATCAGAACATCATTTGTCATCAGACGCAATCATCTAACGAAAATTTGTCATCAGACGCAATCATCTGACGACAATTTTACATACAAGTTCGTCAGACTCATCTATATGATATTGCCCATATAAATTGTTGATCTTGACTATATTCATTCCGCACGATTAATTTATCAAATTTGATAAAATCACCTATTCACCCCCCTCTAGGTGATAGCACTAGCCCTAACAATTGGTATCAGAGCCTGGTGCTCATTCCTTTGAAGTGTTATTTTACTTCTGAGCTAACAATTCTTGATGGCTAGTAATGCTGAGTTAGGTCACAACAACAGATAGCCTTATTTCAATGGAACTGAGTACAGTATCTGGGAAAACAAGACGAAGACATTCATCTTGGGATTAGACCAGGATATATGGGACATCGTTGAACATGGAATCACTCCAAACGTTTCAACCGAATCAAAATCTCCAGAAGCTTCAAATGGGCAAAATGAGACACCTTCTGACGAAGGTAATGGAAGGCAAATCATATCTCCTGCTCCATCTCTCTCTGCCAAGGAAATCTCCAAAAGGATTTATCTGGATGCAAAAATCAGAACGGCCATATACAATGGTCTAGCAAGTGCTGAATACAAACGAATTGCAAATCTCAAATCTGCAAAAGAAATTTGGGATCGTCTTAAACTGGTTCATGAAGGAACAGAGAGAGTCAAGGAGACAAATCTCAACATTCTCCTTGGGCAGTACGAATCCTTCACTCAAAAACCAAATGAAACAATTTCTGAGATGCAAAGCAGATTTACTGAGATCGTAAATGGGCTTAAATTTCAAAATAATCCCATCTAAGAACCTATGGAGGTGAACAAGCTGCTGAGAGCTCTTTTAAAGGAGTGGAACAACATCAAAGTCTTTATTCGAGAAACTCAGGGAATCAGACCACTCACAGTGGACGAACTTATAGGAACTCTTCAATCCTATGAAACTGAAAAGTTTATAGAAACTGAAGAACCCAAAGGTAAGAAATCCATAGCTTTGAAAACTAACATTGATTCTGATGACATAGATTCAGAAGAAGATGAGGATGACGATGAAGAGTTGGCTTTAATGGTTAAGAAACTGAAAAAGATGGCAACGAAGGCAAAGATAAACAAGTTCAAGAAGCAATTCAAGAATCCTAAGCCATCAAAAGCCAAAAAGCTAAACTTTAAGAAGAAATCAAATGGCGAAGATGAGGAAAACAAGGACGTGATATGTTTTCACTGCAAAAAGAACGGACACATAAAGCCCAAATGTCTTCTTCTCAAAAAGAACAAAGGGAAGTATGAACGTTACAGGAAAGCTTTCAAAGCTGAAACATGGAGTGACTCAGATGATGATGAATGCGAACAAGAATATGCCAATATCTGCTTAATGGTAAAATCAGACTCTGAATCAAGTTCTGATGAAGAAGATGAGGTTAGTAATTCCAATATTCCTGAAGCAGTTTCAAATTACATTGATGAGTTAATTTCTGTCAATAAAACTGCTTTCAAGAAAATTTCTGAATTGAAGAAGGAGGTCTCTTTTCTAAAAGGTGTTGCAAATGAAAATGATTGTTTAAAAAGGAAAACAATTTCTTAAAACAGCAAGATATTTCGCAAAAAGATAAGATTGATTTTTTGCAAAATGAATTCAATCTTATTAAGGAGAATAAAGAATTTCTTTAAAAAATGATTTATTAAAAAAGGAAATTTCTGATTTGAAAACTATTCCTCTAGAAAAAGAAAGTTTTGATCGTATTTCTAAAGAAAACGACCTTTTGAAAAATGAGATTTTAAATATTAACAAGAAATTTTCAATGGGTTCGAAAAATCTTCAACATATTTTATCAATTCAAGTTCCCTATTTCAATAAATCAGGTTTGGGTTTTGAGAAAGATACTAAATTGAAAAATGAGTTTCCCAATGTCAAAGAAAGACTGAGAAGAAGACCCCCTAGATTTGCGTATCAAAATCACTTTCAAAAGCAATTTATGAAGTTCTATGATCAAACTTCCTTTGATGCAAATCACTTTAGAAATGAATGTCTTAAAGTTTGGAGACCTGTCCAGAGAGACATTCTGTGAATGAGTGATCCTAACCAAAATAGACCCAAGAAAATCTGGGTACCAAAGAAAAAGTGAGTTACTTAATTTTTGTAGGTACCAAACAGCAGAAAGAACAAGTGGTACCTAGACAGTAGTTGCTCAAGACACATGACCGGAGATCCTCAGAAATTCATTCAGTTAAGAAGAATTGAAGGAGGAAGCGTATCATTTGAAGGCAGCAACAAAGGAAAAATAATTGGCAAAGGAACTGTCAGAATTGGAAATCTCATCATCAACAAAGTCTCACTAGTTTATGTTTGAATTTCAATCTGATTAGCATTGGCCAATTATGTGATATTGGTTACAAGATTACTTTCCAGGAAAACAAATGTTTCGGGATAAGTAAAGACAACAAGCAATCATTTACGGGTCGAAGACATGGGAACATTTACTTACTAAACACAAAGTCTGATGACTTGCGTTGTCTCATTTCTATAAAAGAAGAATCTGATCAGTGGCACCAAAAGCTTGGACACATTAGTGTCAAGTTGATTTCAAAGTTGGCTTCGAAGAAACTCGTTAGAGGACTACTAGAACGAAAATTTAAGAACACTGAATTATGTTCAACTTGTTCTAAAGGTAAACAGGTGAGAAGTTCGTTTAAATCAATAAATCATGTCAGTGCTAACTGAGCTTTGTAGTTACTTCATATGGATATTTTTGGACCTACCCAAACTCTAAGTCTTTGAGGTAAGAAATATTGTTTTGTTATTATAGACGACTATTCAAGATTTACTTGGGTGTTCTTTTTGGCTCATAAAAGTGAAACATTTGAATATTTCTTTAAATTTGCCAAAAAGATACAAATGAAAAGGGTTATACTATTTCTTGCATTAAATCTGATCACAGAAAGGAATTTGAAAATCAAAATTTCTCTAATTTCTGTGATGAAAGTGGTATTCAACATACCTTTTCTTCTCCCTATCCTCCTGAACAAAATGGAGTAGTTGAAAGAAATAATAGAACTTTGCAAGAAATGGCTAGAACTCTTCTTTTCGAAAACAAAACTCCGACTTATTTTTGGGCCGAAGCGGTTTCAACAGCTTGTTATATTGCAAATCGAATTTTTCCTAAACAAATTCTTGAAAAGACTACTTATGAGCTGTTTAAAGGTAAAATTCGTAATGTCTCTTACTTTCGAATATTTGGATGCAAATGCTTTATTCTTAAAAATCCTAATGATCGTGTTGGTAAGTTTGATGAAAAGTCAGATGAAGGAATTTTTCTTAGATACTTAACAACAAGCAAAACCTACAGAGTATACAACAAAAATACTCAAACAGTGGAAGAATCAATGAATGTCAAGTTTGAAGACTCAATTCAGACTCAACAAGATGACTCTGCCACTGAAAATCCAGCATCTGAAGAATCTGACAAAGCATCTGATGAACTGGCGATAGGCGAAAGTAATCAAAATCAAAGATCTGATGAAATTCCAGAATCATCAAACCAAGAAAATAATGAGGAATCATCAAATCTTGACATTGAAAACAATGAAAGATTCAACAAAAACTGGAAGCATAAATCCAGTCATCGTCATGATCTTATCATTGGAAGCATAGATGAAGGAATCAAAACAAGGGCAAAGGCAAAAGAAGTTATAAACTCGCTGGCTCTTATCTCTGAAGTTGAACCAAAGAATATTGATGAAGCCTTGAAAGATGAAAGTTGGATTGAAGCCATGCAAGAGGAACTGTTACAGTTCAAGATCAATCAAATATGGGAACTCGTTCCAAGACCCAAAAATCACCTAGTTATTGGAATAAAATGGGTAATTTTATGGACGTGCTTGTAGTTAGATCTCGCCCGGAACTGATCACTCATGAGATACTAACCGTTAGGGAAAGGCTAATTAGGGATTTAAATTCGCGAGACCAAAGAAACTCGATCGTGAACCGACTTTCGACCATAGAAATTGTCGATGTGACATTTTAAGCCAATGTAGGCCGATCTAAGAATAGCTAGGGATCAATTTGCCGCTGTCATGCGAGTGGATCACGGGTGATTCCGTTTGACCACGAGATGAATTGACGAATGACCCTGAACCTATACCAAACGATCGCGCCCATCGGAACTAGCGATCGATCCTTGTGATTACATGACAACCGAGGTTGTCATGATCCGAGTAAGTTTAAATGTGGCTTGATTTAGTATCGATCATGGGTTGAATATGCGAATTTCCCCAAATGCCACCCGTTAGTCGGCGATACGTTCAAGTTACGTTGTTTGAAATTTAGTCATTAATTAGAGACCAAGTTGGGCATTGGAAATTTAGAAAGTCACGACAGAACATTTGGACGATGTTGTTATTAGCATGATCAGCCTTAGAATCGGCCGGATCCTTCAGAAAAATCGAAATTCGGCAAGAAATAGAAAATGACCGTTTTACCCTTGGGCCTTTGTTAAGGCCAAGTGCAAATGGAGAAGGGCATTTTGGTCATTTCATCCTCACTTTAGAAATGATAATTTTTGGACAATTTTGCCCTTGGATTTTTGTGAAATTTCCATTTTACCCTTAGATATTTTTTGGAAAGGATTGATCTTGGCCGTTGATTTCAAGATAAGAACGAATCGTGGCCGTCGATTGGAAAGTAGAGAGAATGGCAAGATGGTCATTTTACCAAAAAGGGACACCAATTATTGGTATATTTAGGCATTTCTCTCTCTCTCTCTCTCTCTCTCCCCTCATTCTCTCTCTCCTCTCTCTCGGCGCACTCTCTCTCCCTCCCCCATCGATCGATCGCCCCCCCTCTCCCCTTGGCCATACCGCCGCCGTCCCCGGTCACCGTCCGCCCGTCCCCGCCCGTCCGGTCACCGAGCTGTGCCTCACCACCCTCACGCCACCGCCGTCTCTCTCTCCCTCCCTCTCGGTGATCTCTCTCTCTCTCCTGTGGTCGTGACTAGCCAACCAAGCAAGCCGCCGCCGTCGCCGATCGCCGCCGTTCAGCCGGACCGCCGTAGCCGCCGCGCCCCTGCCGCCTTATCGCCCTTGGATAGGTTGTGCTTGCTTCAAAATTTCAAGTAAGTTACAATCTAAACCCTATTTAGGATATTGGGTATTAACGGGCTCGTTTAGACACGGTTTAGTTTGGCTTTAGGGGCTGAATTGGATGAGGGGCCTTAGGGATGAAATTGTGGTATTTTGGTGGTAAATTAGAGGCCAAATAAGGGCTGTGATTGGCTGGTTTGAATGCTGTAATTTTCTGTTTGGCGCGTAGATTGGATGTTTTGATTCGGCAATTAATTGCGTGAAATTATCGTGTAGGGTTGTGATAGTTGTGCCATGGTTTGCGTTGTAAAATGGCATGTTGTATGATGGTTGTATGTTTGTTGTGGGCTGAATTGTGACGGTCGGATTTGATGCATTTGAGTGTGTATGATTAATGCCTGAGTATGTGTAAGTGTGAGATTTGAGGCGTGCGATGTGCGTGTGATCACTAAAAAACCCTGAGGCGTGTTTACGCGGGGTACAGATAAAATACGGCGTGTTGGCATGTTCGCGTGATCACTAAATCCCTAAGGTGTGTTTACGCGGAGAATTGAACCGGCCTGAGGCGTGTTTACGCGAGTCGTGATATGACTGTGAAGCCTGAGGCGTGTTTACGCGGGCTGTGGAAAGAGAATGAGATGTACGATGTGGCAAGTGAGAATGTGATCGGGCTTGAGGCGTGTTTACGCGGGTCGCAATAAGAATGTGTAGCCTGAGGCGTGTTTACGCGGGCTGTAGGAAGAGAATGAGAATGAGATGAGTGTTGTGACAAGTGAAAGTGAGATCGGACCTGAGGCGTGTTTACGCGGGTCATTGGCAAGTTAAATGAAAATGGTGTGGTAGTGCATGAATGAGTGTGAAAGGTGGAGTTCGGAAATATCATGTGTACGGTATGTGCTTTTGGGCATGAGAATAGCTTGGAATGTGCATGTGGTTTGAAATTCGTGTATTTGAGACTAATGTGCAAGTCGAGCCCAGGTAAGTGCATTTGTGTGCGTGATACGTATGTATTGAATGATTGTGTGTTTGGACCTGTCTGGAGATACGTGATAGCTTAAGTGGGGTTTAGGCTGTCAACTTATTGAGATTCGTCTCATGGTTGTTTAACCAAATCATTTCAGAACCCCGCCCTGAACCATGAATCTACCGCCGTCGCCGCCTCAACGTTTTGGGATTTCGATACACACCAACCATAATGTTGTAGAGTACCCGATAAATGAGTATTTGACCTGGATTAAGCATACTACCGTAGTCTGGGTAGACATAGGGCAACCTCTTTGGCAAGCCCACACTTATACGGCCTGGATGTTTCGGGATGGAATGGATGAGTTTGGCCCCGTTCGTGGCTTTGATGTTCCCTTTGATGGAGTAGGGGATTGGGATCCATCGGCCATACCTCCTCCCGACGATGAGATGACTAGCTTGGATACTAGTCTCGCCCAATCAGGACATCAGCCCGTACCTGCAGCACCCGAACCTTCGGTGGCTAAGCCTGATTCGGAGCCGGAGGAATCACAGGTAGGATATGATCCGATGGATGTGGACCTATGTAACGACCCGGTCCGACGAGGGCAGGGAGTGGTCGCCGGGGCCAGAGGGCCTGGATAAGGAGCGGATCCTGGCAGGCTTCTAGGATGGCAAGGGGGGGCATCTCTCTGTCCCACATCGCTTAGGGGGGAGTCCTGGGGTTGCTTATAAGGCCTGGGTGGCTTATCCTGTGTAACGTGTTTTAAAGCCGTGAGGGTCAGTGGGCCCAAAGCGGACAATATTACACAGTGTAGACCCGGGGTGTTACAGGTGGTATCAGAGCCAACTCCCGACCGCGTGTGGGGCCACAGCGAGGATGCTGTGCTCGAAGGAGGGGAGAATGTAATGACCCGGTCTGACGAGGGCGGGGAGTGGTCGCCGAGGCCAGAGGGCCTGGACAAGGAGCGGCTCCTGGCAGGCTTCTAGGATGGCAAGGGGGGGCATCTCTCTGTCCCACATCGCTTAGGGGGGGAGTCCTGGGGTTGCTTATAAGGCCTGGGTGGCCTATCCTATGTAACTCGTTTTAAAGCAGTGAGGGTCAGTGGGCCCAAAGCGGACAATATTACACAGTGTAGACCCGGGGTGTTACAACCTAGGTGCAATACCAGAGGAGGAACCCAGAGAGGATAAGCCCGAAGAAGAGCCTGAAGAGGCACCGGAAGAAGAACCTGAGGACGAACCAGAGGAAGAGCCAGAAGAGGAGTCTGAGGAGGAGGAACGGCTTGAGGTTCCGCTAGAGTCGGGTGATGAGGATAACCCGATTGAGATTGAGGCTGATTCGGAGTCCTCAGAGGAGCAGGTGGCCTAGGGGGATTCGGATTCGGATTCTGGGGAGTCAGACTCGGAGTGGACGCCATCCAGGGGCGTAAAGGCTAGTTTTAGGGGTTAAGCGAAGGCCTTTTGAAGTGTTCCATTTTTGGAGATAGGGTATACCCAGGCTACTGATCTTTTTGATATCGGTGGTGTATAGTTTAGAAGTTCGGTGTGCATGTATATTATGTGGATTGTAAATGGTGGATATTGTATAAGTTTGAATCAGTAATGGATGTATATTCTCCTTTTTACCCCTCGTCAATTATTGTCTCGGTGTTTGTGGCTTTCGCTGGTGCGTTATATCTCTGATGTGCTGATTTGGGTCGGCGACGTTACTTGAGACGTCGCACTAATTCGACCGAAGAGGGATTCCATGAGCCCGATGGGGTTTAGGGTGTGACATTTTAATTGTTCAAGTCTATGTAGATGATATTATTTTTGGCTCTACTAATGAGAAATTGTGTAAAGATTTTTCAAAAATCATGCAAAGTGAATTTGAAATGAGCATGATGGGTGAGTTAACTTTCTTCCTTGGACTACAGGTTAAACAAACCGAAAATGGCTCCTTTCTTTGTCAAGAAAAGTATGCCAGGCAAATTGTGAAAAAGTTTGGTTTGGATTACTGCAAAAAGACAGAAACTCCAATGTCTTTTTCTATTAAACTAGACAAGGATGAAAAAGGAAAGCCAGTAGATCAAAAATTGTATAGAAGCATGATTGGTTCTCTTTTATATTAAACTGCTTCAAGACCAGATATTCTGTTCAGTGTTTGTTTGTGTGCTAGATTTTAGTCAGATCCAAAGGAATCTCATCTTACAGCAGCCAAGCGGATCATCAAATATGTTGGCACCAATCCTACACTTGGATTGTGGTACCCAAAGGGATCAAATTTTAATCTCATTGAATATTCTTATGCTGATTATGCTGGTTGTAAGATTGACAGGAAGAGTACATCTGGAACATGTCAACTGTTAGGACACATGTTTGTGTCATGGTATTCAAAGAAGCAACAAACTGTAGCTCTTTCTATAGTGGAAGCAGAATACGTCTCACTTGGAAGTTGTTGTGCTCAAATCCTTTGGATGAAGCAACAATTGAGAGACTTCAACGTCAAAGACTCAACTGTGGAGATCAAGTGTGATAGTACCAGCGCCATTAATCTGACCAAGAATCCTATTCTGCATTCAAGAGCTAAGCATATCGATATTAAGCATCATTTTATTCGTGATCATGTTTTAAAAGGAGATATTAATGTTCAATTCATAGATACTAAACAACAATTAGCTGACATTTTTACCAAACCTTTCGAAAAGAAAAGTTTCGAGCTTATTAGAGATAGACTAAACATTATTAACCCTTTTTATTGAGCTATGCAGTATAAACTCACAAGGCATCTGATGACTTATTTGCATCTGATGATCAAGCACATATTTGAAGCATTCAGTTTTGGCGCGAAAATCTTCTTA